TGAGGCATTGTGATGTTTTTGTGTTTATATTTAATTGGTGATTGTATGTTGGAGTGACTTGCCCACAATTTTTGTTTTCTTTGTATGTTATCTATACAAGCAGGGTACTATGCTGTGCTCCTCTATGTACTCATTGACAGCACTTATACACTCACCACCTGTCTCCTTTCCTGTTGTCAGCCTCTTGTATGTCCCTTCTGACCTTGGCAAACAGAGCCTATTCTTAGGTCCCTGGAATCTGAATGAGAATGCTATCCCTTTAAAATCCAAAATGGTTGCCACTTGTAAAGATTCAAAATGGCTGTGCCCTCGGTCACTTTAAATATCCAAAATGGCTGCACCCTCCAGACAGCAGGAAGTCAACAGCTCAAGTTGTCTCCCTCCTTACTGCTTCCCTTCCTAGTCATAGGCCACCAGCGCAGTTGTCCCTGTAGCCTTTGATGACCAGGGCTGATCTTTAGGTCAATTTTCAGGTCCCAGCACCACTTGGAAATATTCAGGCTGTTGATCCTGTCAGAGTAGCTGATAGTCCACAGCTCTGACCATCTCTGTACTCACTGTTTTCGTTCAGGTTTTTCTGCTAGTTGGTGCCTAATCCACTTCTATATAGTTCCTTTCAGAGCTCAGGCCTCCAGGATTATCTTCTGTATTTCTGTCAATTGGTTTTTCTTTTCTTTGTTGAAGAGGGTCTGTATCATTTGTCTGCCTATTCCTCCATCTTACCAGAAGTCCTTCCCTGTCTTTTTCATGATCTTTCATTTTCTTCATGGATGGTGTTCTTGATGTCATCCCACAATTCCTTTGGTTTTCAGTCATTGGTGTTCAATGCATCAAATCTATTCTTTTGATTGTCTCTAAATTCAGGAGGTATATATCCAAGGTCATATTTTGGCTCTAGTGGACTTATTTTAATTGTCTTTAACTTCAACTTCAACTTGTGTATGAGAAGTTGATGTCTATTCCGGGCTCAACCCCTGGTCTTGCTTTGGCTGAAGATACCGAGCTTTTCCATCATCTCTTGCCACAGATGTAATCATTCTGATTCCTGTGTACTCCATCTGGCAAAGTCCATGTGTGTAGCCATTGTTTGTGTTGTTGAAAGAAGGTATTTGCAATGAATTTGCATTGGTCTCGCAAAATTCTATCATGCGAATCTCCACTATTATTTCTATCACCAAGGCCAAATTTTCCAAGTACCATTGATACTTCTTTGTTTCCAACTTTTACATTTCAATCACCAGTGATAATCAGTACATCTTGATTGCATCAGGGCTATTACACTGAGGGAATTGTAAGTAAAGTTATGAAGCAAAATGTGTATAATTGTTGAATGGAAAACTAATTTTCTCTCTAAACTTTCACCCAAATGACAACTTAAAAAAAAATTCCCACAAAGAAAACACTAAGCCTAGATACTGTACAGCTATGTTCTACGTAATGTTCAAAGAATAGGTAATTCTATTTATGTAAACTCTCCCAGAGAATGTAAGAGCATATCATCACAAAGGCAGTAGAAGAAAGAAAAATCACAGGCCAATCTCAATCTCACTTATGAATATAAATACCAAAATCCTAAACAAAATGTTAGCAAAGAACATCCTGCAGTAAAAATTTTATATCAGACTGGGTTATCCCAGGATGGTGAGCTCAAATAATAATAGACACTCAATTTTCTGGAAATAACACATTAGGATAGGTTGTACCAACCCTCCTACTAATTACAAAGAGTAGAGAAATTTCACTGTACAAAGTTATACATGCACCCACACATAAATCTTCAAAATATCAGAGAGCTAATGAGTTAATGAAGAATGGGACAATATCCAGAAAAAAATGAAATCCAGACAATATGAAATCTACTTTTTTCCTGGGGGTGGTGAGGTGGGAACCACTGAAGATCACTGAAGAAACTGCTGAGATGCTGAACAGTGCTTTGGATAATCTTACAAAGTTAGGGTGACAGAAGGTCAAATCCAGCACCACCACCCCCTGCCCCAAACCAAGTGTGGTAAACTCCTTATGCCTTGGGTTGAGCTATCTTATAGGAATAAGGGTGAACTGGAAGAGAATTAGACTACCTATGCATATAAGCCCAGATTCAAATCATCTCAGATATAAAAAATGGAAGAACATTACATAGTATTTTTAGTGTGGCCAGGTGCTGTACACAAGTAAGCATAAATCCTTTGTGAAAAAAATAGCATCCCCATAGGATTCAAACTATTTCTACATGCTAAAAAATGCGGTGAGAGGCATGCAATAAAATACAATCAGATAAACAAGGAGAAAAGGCAGAATGAATGCAAACTGGTGTAAACAACAAAATAGAGACAGATCCATATAAGATGTTATTACAAAAATGTGGAGGCGTTGTAGCTCATCAGTAATCAATTTACTGATTAAATCTTTGGAAAATGTGTTTGTAAAAAAGCTGAAAAAAGGTGTAGAATTACATTTAAGAAGGGAAAAGTAAATAGTTTTGGTTTATGAAAGATAGTTTGTATATTTATAAATACTTTGTTAAATACACGAACCTTTTTGTACTCTTTTTCTGTGATGCATTTTTCCCTGGAAGTATTTTAGAATGAAGAATCCATCAGAGTCTGTTGATTTAAGATTGCATTGTTGGACATGGGAGAATTAGACCTAATTATTTCTGAGTGTTACCTTTAGCAGTAACCAAAAAGAAAAACATATATAATAACTTAAATGCTTAAAAAAGGATCTAGACCTCAGGATGTACTTCAGTTTTCTCTTTATGCATTTTATTGTTGAATCTGCCTCACCAATAACCATGCAAATGGCACTGCTTGAAGATGAGTGTCATATAGTGTTGTACCCCAGTTCTTGAGTGGAAGAGAAAGATTGCTATTCTCAGTTGTACTTTACAAGGCACATTTAAGTTAATTTAAAAAAGTCATAGAGGCCCCTTTTTTTTTTTTCCAATTTTTTACTAAAGTCTTCTGACCGTTTTTTCTCTTTTGATAGAATGAGCATGTTAATTATGTAGATGTTGGCGGAGCTTATGTGGGACCAACTCAGAACAGGATCTTACGGCTGTCTAAGGAGCTGGGATTGGAGACTTACAAAGTGAATGTCAATGAACGCCTTGTTCAGTATGTCAAGGTAAGAATGGCTTTTTACTCAAGTGACCAGTAGAAAGATTTTGTTTGAGAAAACATTTTTCTAGTTCTTACTTTTTTTTTTCTTCAAGACAATCATAACAATAGGCTCTTTAAAGGGTATTCTGCCTTTTTATTTTTTTCAAAAAAAATCCATATGAACTCCTAGAGTCATTGCAGGGAGTTTCACCTTGGCCTTCCTCTGCATCACCCACCTCACAGGCTGCGTTCCCCACCCCAAGTCCAACTTGAGTAGGAATGGGAGGCTGTCAGCTGCCTTCCTTCCCTTTCCTCATGATGGGAGTATGTGTCTTGGTGAGCACACACACGGCCCTAGTCCCAGGCAACTCCTGTGAGGCAATGAAAAGACCCCAAGGAACACAGTATTTGAGCCCACTTCTTTAGACTTTGAACAGGTTACTCATTTTCATTCTTCCTTGGCATTCCTTTGAACACTGATAATTTCCCCTGCACTTGGCCTTGACTCTTGGGAAGTCTAGATAGGTTGTGTAGTTCCCTACTGTTTAAACAAGAGATTGTTTAAACTTAGCTGCTGATGTCCATCCAAGAAACAGCAGCTGTTGCCAGTGTTATTCTTTCTTATTGAAGTCAAACATAGAACAGCTGGAATCTGGAAATGGGCCTGGAAGAATCAAGTGTCTGATCTTACATTGTAGTCCACTTCCTGCAACTGATGTCTCTAGGGCAGGGGCCGTTTACTCACTCTAATATCAGGATTCCCACACATTGCTTCTTAACAGCCACTTCTACCCCTCGCCCCACCTCAGGCAATCATTGATGGGCAGGAGTCTGCAAGGCCTTTTAGAGATATTTGTGCACACTGATGCCCAATCAGAGATGAGGAATCCTGGAAAACTAATAGCCAGATGGTTTTGGATTCTTGGGGGAGCATCTAGAAGGGAGATAAACATGAAAAAACAAATCAAGAGCCTTTCGAGAAACTATGGTATCAGAGGTTAAGGGAGGAATGAAGACAGTGTAAAGAATTATTGGAAGTGTTTAGGAATGGTGACTTCAATAGGCCATGATAAAAAAGGAAAGCAGACTTGCTTCCCCACTTTCTCTTTTCTACATGGACGGCATGATGTTGCTTCCCTGGGCTGGTAAGTAAGATCAGTAATAATAGTAGCAGCTGTCATTAGTGAACACTTTTATGCGTGTTACCACATATAATTTAAAGAAACCAAATTCTTTGCTTTCACTTACTAATTAAACTGGCTATGCATGCTGCTTCTGTGAGAATGAGCACTCCCCTCAGAGGAGTGGTGACAGAGGCCAGTGAGCACTGAGGCTCAGTAGTCACATTTGTGTGTCTTCTGAGTTCCTCTGGTTGTACACTAGAGTGTAGTGGTGAGTTCAAACATAGCAATGATTGTGAGAATGGTGCAGGACCATGCAATGATTTGTTCTGTTGTATATAGGGTCACTATGAGTAAAAACCAACTTGACTATGACAACAACAATGACATGCTTATAATCTCTTCTTTCCTAAGATTCAGGTGCTAAGAGATTTTTATTTACCTGGAGACTAGTAAAAAACAACAAAGGGCTTTATAAACTCACCAAAAAAAAATAAATAAATAAATAGGTGTATCTAAAACCAAAACAAAAAAAACCCTATTTCCATCAAGTGGATTCCAACTCCTAACAACCCTGTGGCCTCATTAAATCCTTATATCCATCGTTTTAGGCAGGTATTGTTATTGCCATTTTACACGTGAGAAAATTGAGAGGTAAAGTGACTTGACAAGACTGTAAAAGGTAGTAAAAATCTGCCTAACCCATGAGTAAAAACAAAAATAAAAAAGTTGCCCTCAAATAATTTCTGACTCATGGCAACCCCATGCGTTTTACAGTAGAGCTGTAGTTCATAAGCTTTTCAATGGCTGTGACCTGTTAGAAGTACATAACCAGGCTTTTCATCCAGGAAGCCACTGGATGAGTTAGAACAGCCAACCTTTGGGTTAGTAGCTAAACACTTAACTTAGGGAGTCTAACCCCTGTGTCCAGAAAAACCAAACTCACTGCCATTGTGTCGATTCCAACTCATAGTGACTCTCATTGAGTTTCTGAGCCAGTAAATCTTTATGGAAATAGATTGCCTCATCTTCTATGGAGTGACTGATAGGTTAGCAGTAAAATGCCTTAGGCACTGCTCCAACAGAGCTCCTTAACCCCTGAGTACATACTCTTAATTATCCCAATATACAGCCTAGACAATGAAACTGAGGGTCCTGAAGAAGTGTGCTGGGTCCCTAACATATATTGTGTGTTAATTCACCTTCTTTTGCATTGAAGCCTGGCTCATAAGATGAGTAGATACAATTATTGTATATTTCACTTTCTTACTCTTTTCCCAATTTAGTGTTCCTCTGGGTGGTGCAAACAGTTAAGTGCTAGGCTGCTAACCAAGAGGTTGGTGGTTTGAATCCATCTAGGGATACCTGGGAAGAAAGGTCTGGTGATCTACTTCTGAAAAATCAGCCATTGAAAGCCCTGTGGAGTATAGTCCTACTCTAGCACATGTGGGGTCACTATGAGTTGTAATCACCTCAATGGCAACTGGTTAAAGGGAGTCCCTCATGGTATGAATGGTTAAGCACTTGCCTGACAATCAAAAGGTTCACATTTCGAGTCAATACAGAAGTACCTTGAAACAAAGGCCTGGCAATCTTCTGAAACATAAGCCATTGAATATTCTATGGAGCACAGTTCTCTTCTGACACACATGGGGTCACCATGAGTTGGAATCATCTCAATGGCAACTAATTTTTTGTTTTTGTTTTTTATTTTAAAAGGGAAAAACTAGAAGCCTGTAGGTATGTCTGCAAGCTAGGTGCCTCCTAGTCTCTCCTAGCTAAGCTGGCTCTAAACTTTGATGCTGAGGTAAGGTTATAAGAGTGGCTTTCAACATAGCCAGCTTTTATGATGAATTCAACTCCTCTTTGTTCATGACAGATGCAAGATGAGGTTAAGATGAGAAAGTGCGTTTTGAGAATTTTGGCATTGTCTGTAAAGTTATCAACAGATTATGGCACGCTGCTCAGCCCTTCTGACAGCACCTTAGGAGTCCATTGTCTTTAGCTGGGGCTTTCTAATGCTGCTGGAATTATCTGGGCTTCCAGGAAATGCTGCTTTCTAGAGATTTGGACAATCATTTCAGTACTTTGATAAGGTTCTGCTTCAAGTATTAGTAGAGAATAAACTTGTGGAAAGCCTTAAGAAAAGGCTGCATGCTACATCAGATACCTAAGTAAGGAAAAGGAAATGTTAAGTGTGGTATCAAGATCACTTGGTTTGGTGCTGCTTTTGAACCCTCTTTCGAAGGTTAGGTCCACACCATCCCTGATAGTACTGTTCCTAAGAAAAAGCATAGCCTCCAGCTCTCCTGAGAAGAGGCCTACTCAACTTCTACACTATTTTTCTCTTTCAAGAATATAAATAGGGCTGGACTGTCTCATAACCTACTGGAGAAAGATATCCTGTGTCATTGAACTTGGTAGCCTAAGACGCCTTACTTGACCTCTGGATCCTTGCCATTGCTTGATCAGGAATATCACAATGGTAGTAATAGGTAATAATTATGGAACAAAGTATGTGGTGGACTTGGTCTCATGCTTCACTTACACTTTGTAGAGTAAACAGCACGTTTATATCAAGGCCACAACTGTTAATACCTCAGGGTCAGCACCGTTCCCATAGTAATGATAATGGTAGCTATCTTTTACTGAGTTCCTAGTGTGTGCCAGACTGAGTCTTCACCTCCATTACCTCATTTAACCCTCACAAGGGACCCTAGAAGACAGAGCCCTAGCCCCATTTCACAGTGAGAGTCAGTGGCCAAGTAATCCAGGCTAGTAAGGAGTACTGAGCTAGAATTCAGGTCAAGGCCTCTCCGTTTCCATGCTGTTTCTTCCTGTGCCTGATTCCAATGTCAGTGACTTTGCTGTGTCTGTGGACTCTAGGAAGCTCTTACAGCTGATGTTTGTTCTGGTCCTCATTGGGGCTCTCTTCTCGTGGTCATCCTGTATCTCTGTGTGCAGTACCAAGACAATTTTGCTTGTCCTTTTGCCTGCAAGCCTGAGAGAGCAGTGTAATTACCTGCTCTAATACAATCACTGTGTCTTGGTTATTGTGTTATGAATGTAGTAACTGTTTAGCTGCCATTTAAGTACCTGATGATGAATGTTTAAGGTTCATTTTAAATTTTTGTACTTACAGATAACCACTTCAGATGCTAAACATTGTCCTTTTCATTATATTTCATTAAAATATCTCTTCTAAGGAGAAGATGGACACTAGAGATATTTACTAAACCATCCTCTTTCACACTTTACCTTTCCAAAGAACACATATTTTTACAGATATAGAGAGTAGACAACAAAGCTAAGGCAAAAATGTAGTGGGTCAGTTAAAGGTTAGTTTATCTGGATGAGTGCCTCATTTTTGCTAGTGTGTCTGATAAATCATGTCATTTCTGTAATGAGAGATAAACAGTGTAGTGGAGGTTTTATGATGACCAGGAAATTATAGAGGCATTGGTGGTTCAGTGATAGAATTCTCCTTTTTCAGGCAGGAGACCTAGGTTTGATTCCCAGCCAGTGTACCTCATGTGCAGCCTCCACCCATCTGTCAGTGGAAGCTTGTTGTGTTGCTATGATGCTGAACAGGTTTTAGCAGAGCTTCCAGACTACGACAGACTAGGAAGAAAGGCCTGGAGATCTACTGCTGAAAATCAGTCACTGAAAACCTTATGGATCACAGTGGTCTGATCTGCAACCCATCATGGAGATGGCACAGGACTGGGCAGACTGTGTTCTGTTGTGCTTGTGTTCCCAGTGAATCAGGGGCTGGCTTAAAAGCAGCTAACAACAACAGCAGCAGAAAAGTGTAGAAGAAAGAAGCCAGATGAGAGAAAAACAGGAAGATATTTATTTAAATTAATATTCCAGGCAAGGCTACTAATAAACTGCTAACCAAATT